AATATATAATACAATAAATTGCATTTTTACACATAAATACAAAATCTGAGGTAGGGCCTCAAGAATAATGACTTCTTAAATGAACAACATTCAGCATTATAATATGCACTACATGAGATATGTATGATGCATCCTTTGTAACATAATATATCTTCTGCACATACAGCTAATGAAAAAATTATAATGACCTTGTTAGGGTACAAATCTTTATCCATAGGCAGCAGTACCCCATAGAATGCCTGTAAATATATATATATATATATTTATTTATATATGACATTACGCAAGTAATTAAGATTTAACCCATCAGCGATAGGTCTGTAATAAAGTGCCACAGGACACAGGGTGTAAATTCTCAGCTGGTGTAAATTGTCACAGCTCCAAACAAAGCTGCGACAATTTATACCAGCTAAGCATCTACCTTACAAGGTACCCTACATAATATAAATGACAGATAACAACATTTTTTTCCATCAATCTGTATTTTCCCAACAATGGAAGGTCCCTATAAGGCAAATGGTTACCTGAAGATGTCCTTAAAACGTTATGGGCAAATAATAATATTGCAAGCAATAAGGTCCAGCCTGGTTCTCACATTTTAAGCTAAACCCACCGGGAAAACCGTTTCTCTTTGGTGACAGCCTGCCTGAGGGTGACAAAGGCAGAAATCACAAATACCCCTAACCCTCCCCTTTCCAGTCAGCAACCTGAGCCCCTCTGGAAGATCAAGCTCTGATTATTTCACAAACACCTTACATGCACACCATTTAACTTCAAACCAAGAAGTAAGTGTCTCATAATCATGCCAGACATGACAGCATCATTAGCAAAACTGAGACAGTTCCTGGGACAGCACTTGCCGTAGCTGCGCAGCCTGCAACCCCCAAGCCATACAAGTCTGTCTGCAACTTTGATTGCAAGAAGTGGAGTTGCAGAATAAGAAACCAACAGAAAAGCAACATCTGCCACAAATAAGCAATTACTTTATCACAGACAGCAAGGAATTATATTATCCGTACAACTACACACATACTCAAAAAGATGACCAAAGGTATTTAAAATAAATTGAGATTTGGATTTTGATGGTAAGAGATAGCGACAGTGTATTGGAAGCAATCTTCAGTGCTGAGGCACGTCTAATGTGGTCACTGGAGCAGAACCTAGTCAAAAGAATGCTTTGACTAAACCAAAATATCATGTAAAGACAACCCAAGTCTTTCTCAGTTAAGGATCATTTTGTTAAACCCTTCTTTTGGAAACAAAGTGCTGCCATGGTTAGCTGAAAAACAGATTTTGAACACTATATATTAAAAATGCTAGGAAGACCCCAAAGAATTTGAAGATGGCAAGCATTTGCATTAAGTATAATTTTTAATGCATACAATAGTGCATCTCAACTCATTCAAAAATCCAATTTCATTTCAAAGAAAAAATATGCAACAGAAGTAGTTCTCACCAAATTTGAACATTTTTTACTCACAAGATAGATCTGCAAGTACGTACATCACATTTTTACTAATATGGCTTTTTCCCCTCCTTTTTAAAAGACCTTTACTGGTATTTACTTAGATACTAAATTTATTTTTAGAAAACTATCAAAGTACATGCAAACTTTTCTAGAATATGATAAATGAAGTACATTCCCAAACTGCAAGATTACTTCTCATTTAAAGAGGACACTGCTGGTTAATTTAATCTCAACGTTCAGATTTGACGAGTAAAATACTTTTTAAAAGCCTGGTGTGAAAATTTTCCACTTTTAATTTACGGTGAAAAACTTCAATTCTTCTGTGATTTTTGTACTCATTTCTTCCCCACTCCAAATGTCTTTGCAAGCCCAGGTTTAGACGTTAAAGCTGAAGATAAAATCAACTAAAACAAAATCAAAACCTATCACCTGTTTTCAGAGTCTCAGAGTCAGGCCTAATCCTGTGCTAATGACTTCCACAGGCACAGGAACAACACCTAAATGAAATGCGGGCAGATTAATTACCTAAATCATGGAAAGCAATTCAATTTTTCACATGCATTCTGTTTTAGTAATCCAAGCCAAAGGAAAGATGTGCTAACCCAGCAGTATTCCTCCAAATGACACCCCTTCTGCACTTAAATAGACAGTAATTGACATGCTTACACCAAGGCAATTTTACCGCAGTTAGTTAATCCTGGTTCAAACACATCCTGAGATAACAAATTGGGAAGGGAAAGGATTCAGAACTATTAAGTGATTTGAGTGTGTGTTTGTTTGTTTGTTTGTTTTAAGAACAAAGCCTATAAACACTTTGGGGCTTGGTTTTTTGGGTTTTTGTTTTTGTTTTTGTTTTTGTTTTTTTTAATCCCAGCAAAACAGGATTGGACTCCAAAAATCAAACCAAGACTTTAGATGATAACGGTAGACACCTAAAGCTATTCATCCTGACAAAAATATGCAATTCCCACTAGATGGTGCTAGCTGGTTTAGGTTCCTTTCTTCACCTTTCCAGGTGGAAAGAACTCCTGCAATTCATTTTCCTGCGCAGCACAGTCTGCTCAGCCTCACTGCCACACGGGCGTCAATGGCCACCTTGTCTTTATACAGCTTCATCGCATCAGGCAGAGTGTGGCGCCTCCAACCTGCTCTGCCAGGAAAACAACAACCCAGGAGAGGGGAGAATAGCAGCTCCCCTTGTGAAAAGGGCTGGCAAAGCCAAAAGAAGCCGGCGCAGCTTTAAGGCAGCGATGCTTGCAGAGGTCCGAGCGGTGCTGCTGCGCCAGGCGGGCGCTGGCGGGGCCCCTGGGGCACAAGCCTTGCAAAATCTGTCCTCGCCTGAGGATTAAACGTCTCCAGCAGTGCCTCTGACTGGCAACACTAAGTTCCCCCGTGGAAGAGGAAGTTCAGCAAAATGATTAATATATTTAATATACATATATATATACGCGCACACACACGTACACAGAAAGGAAGTTAATAAATTGTGGAAGAGTTGCATTAAGGTTTAGGTTTTTTGTTTTGTTTTCTTCGACAGGATGAAAACACTATGTCTACTGATCTACGGACACACGTTAACTGAAGAGTTACCTGAGACCCTGTAATGTACAGACAGACGGACAGACAAAAAAGAACGGGATAGAAACAGCTCCCTGAAAGGAAAGAACATTTATCGGCTACTACTATAGTGTGGGCGGGGAGGGAAAAAACAGGCTAAACTACTGTAAGCTCACCATCTCTACACGGATTGATAAGATACTTATAGGGACATACAACATCACTAGCACACACTACGTGAACACTGATCACTGTTGAAAAATATCATATATGTGTGTGTGTATAGGATATAACAAGATAGTAAAGGTTGCGTTTTTGCCAATTATTGAAGATATATTTTTCTCCCTCATTCTAGTGCATTTACAATAAATTGGGCTAATTTGCTATTCAGTTAAATAAATTGATTCTTAAAAGCTCTATTTTTACTAGAGCTTTACTAGGTAATATAACTATTTAAGTCTAACACTCATATCGCCATATATATCTGTTTTCTAAATGGTAATGATTTAGAAAGTCCTATTGCAATGCAATGGCCATCTACTAAATTGTCCTCTTCCACCACCATTACATTTTGTGCATCTAATGTTGCATCCATGTGGATGATTATAGTGGTTAGTTGTTGGTTTTTTTAGTTTTTTCTTTAATGAAAACACTTTAAATGCAAAAAAAAAAAAAAGAAAGAAAGAAAAAGAAAAGATAAACTACGTACATTCCAGAGAGAACACTGCTTTGTAGAAGAATTTACGTGCTATATATATAATATATAGACAACTGGGGTTCTGCTATTTCCCCATTGGTTGAAAGAGAAGAATACATCTAAAGGTTATATAAAGATGTTTACAGGAGAATGACTGGGGAGTCACAAAGTTGAACAGCACATCTAACTTCTAATAACTGTTGTCAGGTGGTAACTAGACTACACTTACCACTGTAAGAATACAAAATTAGGCACAAATTATATGATGGCTTCTTGAGGAGATACTGCAAACAAAAGCAGAGAAACAAGGAAAACTATGTTCAGAGTTTTGGAGTTAAGTGGATAAAACTGTGCTTGCACTTACTGTATAAGCAGTTTGCCAATGGAGCAAGGTTTTCGACACTTGGTATAAAGGAGGCATTTTTGATTGAAAAGGCAAATATCAAATTATTAATAGAAACATATGAAAGTACTTAAAACTGTGATGCCCATTCAGTTTGGCACTATTTCAAAACCGTTTTCCAGGCTCAGGGACAGTTTAGTTCCAATCTCAAGTGATTATTTTAAAGTTTGCTTGTATTTTTCTACTCAAAACGATCAAATGGGATCATTGTGTTTCTGTTTGATTCCACATACTAGTGTAAGCCTTACAGGCTCTCCCCTTGCTTAGGTAACGAGTCCTCAAAGTCCGTATGATCCTTGCTTATAAAAGCAGCGGGCAGACACCGTGAGCCACGTCCTGCCATCATCAGTGTAGACAGAGCAACTCTGCTGACACGGATGGCCTCGCTCTGGATCCACGCCAGAGCTGCAGAAGACCCCAGCCTGGCCTGGAGACCCCCCTCTTGCCTCACTTGCATCCCGTTAAAGGGCTGACCTTCCTTTTGGTTTCACTGCTAACAAAATCCTAGTCCCATCACGGCTACCTGTTACAAGGAAACTTGTGCAAAATTGGTTAAGTTTCGCTCATCCCTTTAAACTCCCTTAAAAGATTTTTTTTTATTTGCTTATTTTTACATCACCTGACAAAAACTGGGATGCAGCTTCTTGTGTAACATGCTTTTGCTATTTCACAGGGCACAGAATATGTCACGGGCATCACGTACACCCAAAAGTGGTCTAGCTAGTTCTTCACTATGGCATGCGACGGTAAGTCCTACTTTCTAAGCAACCACTTTCAGGCACTGTGAGAAAGAAGAGAAGAAATGCTGGGAAATGAATGCTGGAAAAAAGTATCCAAAAAGGCTGACAATGTTATTGCCACCAGTGTAATAACTATTAGCACTGGGTCCCCAGTTCTATATCCTTCACTGGCAGCTTAAGTCCCAGGGAGGAGGTTCCCAGTGGATCAACCATGTTCATGTAACGTTCACCGCGGTGCTTGGCCAAAAACGGACCCCAGTCAGGCTGTGGAGAACACACCAGCTTGAGTCGCTGCAATGTGGGGGGAGAGAAAAGATAGTCTCATTTGAAATTATAGAGCAGAATTACAATGCAGAAGAAATAAGGTTAGGCTCATTTGAGTTTACTGACAATGGCCCTGCAATGCTCCACTGCTTGGTGTTTTGCACAAAGTTTGCAAGACTAATAGAGGATAAAGTGCCCAGATTTTAATTATACATTCTCCCCCTCACCATATGAAGGGAACTGAGAGCAACCGCTACAGATTGCTAGCCTAGCTTTCTGAAGGACATGTGCTCAATTACTTAGCTCAATCATCTAAGCAGTGGGTACCTGCATTAAAATAATTGGATTTTTGTTTAGCATATTTCCCAAAAGTATACAAATGACCAAAAAGAAGTACACTGTTATGAATGAGCAAAGATTTTAATTTTGATATGACAAAATGCTTCACTTCTATCTGCAGGAAAAAGAAAGAGGAGAATGTTAACCTGGCAAACAACAAAAATCTTCTAATCTTTCCAATGATTTCTTTATTAAATATATAATTTGATTGGCATATTTATAAATAAAAAGGAAAGAAAACATATTTCTGATGCATTAAGAGGGAACAATTATATGTTTATTACCTAATAAAGTGAATCAGACCTCTGTATCAGTTATTTTAATTTCTGCTTAATTACTGGTTTGCAACCTTTACCTCCCAAATCAACCATAATAAACTTATGCAGCAGACTCAGTGCTCAGGAAATACTAGGCTAAAGCTAAAATAGCTTCAGCAAAAGCCTCTTCAAAACAGATGCCACTTTTGGGCGTTTCTCTTAGTGTGCTACCAGAGGGAGAGCAAGAAGAGCACCCTATTTTTTAAGGCAATGTACACGCCACTTCCACACAGATAAGTTAGATGATTAGAAACAGAGCAACGCGTCTCAATGACGGGAACAGAATTACTGCTTTGTGCAAAAAAATGGAAGGCCAACTGTAACAGTGCTTATTTCTAAGCAAGGCCCATAGTCTAGGCATCAGCTGAAAATTAAGAGGTGACGAGCAAGTAAGTCTCCTTTCTTATTAGCTCATTTCCAGCAGGAGCAGTTATCTCTGCTGACCTGCGCACTCCAATATGCTCCACACAAGGGCTGAACGGCCCTTTAGACTAGTTGCCTCATTGCCTAGTGCCAACTGTGCCACTTGGGTGGTCGCCCTTGGGTGTCCTACCGCTTAATGTTAAACTCCTTTGCTCTATATGAAACAGAAAAGCGTGGACTTTTCCCTTAGGCATGGGGAGTGTGGCACACAGAGACCAAAAGAAGATTCTATTTTAGCACATTTTCTCTCTTTTTCATTTTTTAGGCATATAAGAGCCCCCTACGGATATTACAGCAGAGCTGAACTGCAAGGATGAATATGAATATGAAAAGGGGAGATGCATGTCTGCTCTCTATCCCAAGAAGTATGCAGCAAGGAGAGGGCAGAACTGAGAAAGCCTCAAAGGCAAAAAAAAAAAAAAAAAAACAGCACTGCACTTATTCAGATGACAAGGTGAAGGCAATGAAGGGGTGCAATGCTGACATGGGAGAGACGGCCCTGCACAGCACCCATAAGGAGCTGAGGCGAGCCAGGAGGGTTGGGAACACCTCGAGAAGAGGTGGCTGTGGCAGCCAGGGTGGCAGGCAGTGCTGGGCACAGCAAAACTGAGCTGAAGGACAGCGCCACATCTTCTGAGCGGCAGCGGAAGCAGCAGG